AAAAACAAAAAAAAAAACATAAACAAAAACAAAAAAATAAAGAACAAAAAACTTTATTATACTGACCATATCATATAGGACTAAAAAATTCAAAATATTTATTCAATTTTGTTCATGGTTACAGATAGTAGCTAATATACTTAAGCTATGTTTGGTAAAACTAGCTGATAAGCTAGCTGATAGTTGAAAGCAGATAAGTTACCTTATAAGTAATTTTCGAGCTTATAGTTTATGACTTATAATTTTCGAGCTTATACCTTTTATCAGTAATTTTCGAGCTTATAGCTTATGACTTATAGTTGAAAAGCTAACTTATATGATTAAAGTGTTTAGTAAAATTAGCTGATAAGCTAGTTGGAATATAAAATTTAACTAACTTATTTGGAAAGCTACCTGAAGAAGCTTATCAAATAAGCTCGAGCTTTTTAAAAAAGCTCGACCTAACAAACAAGGCTTATTTGAATATAGAAGCTTATAAACTAACCAAATAAATTATAAACTAATTTATTTGTTTACCATAGTCTTAAATTCAAATAGCACAAAGTTTTACTTACTATATCAACTCTTTTTTTTTTGTGGTAAATATGTAAAAATGCATGATGTAAAAGGTTTGTTTATATGCGACTCGTGCTGTCTGATCATAATTTCTTGGGAACAAAATCCTTTGGCCTTTTGTACTTTGTCAAATAATTTATGTGCAAGGTTGGCATGGCAATATGGCATGCCTGTTGTGTCCGAGGAAGTGCTCTTGTTTATTGCTTTACAGAGGGACAAACAAACCGCATCACGGTTCTTGTGCGTTTTTTGTCAACATTTTGACTGCTGCTTTACACTTTTTTTCAACTACTACTTGATTCTTTGATTTCTTTACTCCGCATGCATATATCAATGGAGACGCGTTTTTTTTTTTTTTTTTTGAGTAATAAAAAGGATTTTTATTTGAATCATTTGAAGAATTTATCTATTTATATATATATATATATATCTATATTATTTATTACTATTATAAAAGTGCCAATGAATCTGTAAAAATATCAATAACCTAAAATAACCTTATTATGCCATATTTATAATGACAACAAGTTTATTAATGTATTTGATAGATTAACTAATATATAATAATTTAAATACCTAACAAAAACATGCGGTCATGTACTCACGGAAATGCCCCATTAATTTTTTTTTTTTAATTAATATACTATTATAAAAGTGCCAATGAATCTGTAAAAATATCAATGGCCTAAAATAACCTTATTATGCCATATTTATAATGGCAACTTCGTAAGTTTATTAATGTATTTGATAGATTAACTAATATATAATAATTTAAATACCTAACAAAAACATGCGGTCATGTACTCACGGAAATGCCCCATTAATTTTTTTTTTTAATTAATGATTGCATCTTAATGGTTTGGATTTTTTGTGCTTTTTGTAAGAAAATTGGTCATGTACATAAAAATCAAAGTCATTCTTGGACAAAGATGGAAGAAATTAAGAGGATAGCTGTAAAAAAAAATAAAAAAAACGGTTCTCATAGGAGAAAACGAGATACAGTCACCGGCCTCACGGAAATTGGCCGTCCAAAGCGGCACCACGTCGGTCCTCTTCGCTTTTCTTTTTCGAGTGGTAATGGGTTTTTCGCAATCCATAGTCGGATTTATACAAGTTGCTCTTGAAGAAACTTTCAATTGATTTATAAAATCTATTCGTTTATGTGCTCTTGAGGAAACTTTCGACCGATTTATGAAGTCAATTCGTTTATGTGCATTAACGAATTACTAACTACCAATGGAACTTTGTGTGAGCATACAATGAATTACTCACTACCAATGAAAACTCTTGTTGAATGATTTGTGTTTTTCATCGAATCATTTTAGGTTGTTTTCCACGAAAGTTTCAGAAATAATATGATAATGGGACTAAAGGGATTTAATGTAAAAATATAACCTATGAGAAAGAAAAATTGTGTAACACTATTAGAGATAAATTGTTGAATAATTGTTTTGCAACTCAAACTTCTAATCTACTAAATGTATTTATTTAAATAAGATTAGAATAATTTTATAAAATTTTCTAATACTAAAAGTCATTCCAATTATTTTCCTATCGAATACTACTTGAGCAACTTGATTTAGTTTTGATCATAAGATTGTCTATAAATTAATTAATATATCTAGAGAATCATGATATGTCTATATACGCTGAAGTTAATTAATTTTTACCAACAAATCATATCAAACAACACCATTAATCATCTATTATTAACAACTATAAGTAAACAAAATTAAAATCGATAATGTCTGTCCTTATAATGCCCATAAAGTATAGAAACATTTTTTGTTTTCCAAAATAACCTATATAAAAAAAAACAATTGTGTAGTAGTATGAGAACAATTGAATTCTGATTTTGCAGCTTGAACATCTTTTTTTTTTTTTTCCAAAACGATAGAGGAACTATATTAATAAAAACCGCACAACGTGCGAAGAGAAGCAGCCAAAAGCTGAATAGTACAACCGAGGACTGAAAAAACTGGGAGGCAGATCCAAAGATCGCCTAAAGCATGACCTAGCAACGCTAGAATAACAAAGCTCACAAACAACACCAACCAACAACGACAAAAACTAAAAAACTAACAAGGCTCCAAACAGGAGAATACCCGAGTGTCGGCTCTCAACAGGAGAATAAATTTGACACCGAGGCTCACAGAGACCAAAAGCCCAAACCAAAAATACAAGAAAACAAACAGAAACAAAAAGGCTAAAAACAACTAAATAGACTAAGGCTTTCCCGGTCGACACACGAGCCCAAAAACCAATAGCGAAACAGTCGGTTCAAGAAGACCCCAAGCCCGAGTAACAGCTACTGAAACTGCGATAAGGCCTATACAGCAACCGAACTTGAACTCCGAAGCCATCTCAAATCAACCCACCACCAACCGAGAGAACAAGACCCGCTCCCAACACCAACGCAACCCAACCTCTCCTAACACCACTAGCAGAAATCGAGCGCACCGGACCCCTTCAGTCCCCAACACCAGAAGACCGTGGAGGGGAGCAGCCCGGCCCTACAACCCAAGCTTTCTCGACACCAGGTGTCTCGTCCACCAAGGTCCCGCCGCGTCCACTGACCCGCACACCACCCAACCCCGCCACAGTCCGCCGGCGACAGAAACCCCACACAACCACCGAAAACACCCACAGCAGGGGAGACCAAATGGACCCAATTGCAAAACAAGAGATAAGTTAAGGGGAAATACCTCACCAATCGAAGATCCGCCAGCGAGGAAGAGCCATCGGACTTAGATCGAGGGACCACCACCCCAATCGGAATCTCGCAGACGACTGAGGACGGTGAGTCCATCACCAACAATTGCAGCAAAGCGGGAAGGCGAGACATTAGGAACAGAGCGGGCGGTCAACGGCGGCTACAGGCTCGAGCCTCGCCGTCGACGGGGAGGCCGGACAGCGCAAGTGAGGTTGTCTGCAAGGGTTTCGAAGAATCGCCGCAGAGAGAGAGAGAGAGAGAAACTGTCACCAACTTTTATACTCAATTTCTTTCTTAAAATATGATTAGAATAATTTTATGAAATAGTATAATATTAAAACCCATACTATTTATTTTCATGTCGAATGAAATACCACTTGAGAAACATTCAATTTAGATCATATGATTATCTATAAATTAAATAAAAATATCTGGAGAATCATGATATGCCTATATACCTTGAAAATTAAAAAATTTTAGCAATAAATTATATCGATATATTATATATAATATTGTGTGCAGTTAACTATTCTGAAAATTATCGATAATGATATAAAATATAACACATTCAATGTAATATTAGGATTTACTTTATGATAATTAATATTTTTATTTTTTTGAAAAAACTAAGATACAACTAGGTTGAAAAAGTCCGTTATAATTTTATTAGTATTAGAATAACTAAACAAGAGATAAGAATGATACTCAATGAGAAAGATAATATTACACAATGAGAAAGCTTATAATTCACATTCCATCCAAAAGTAAAAAATAAAAAAAATAAAAAAAAATTATAAAATAATAAATGTCTTATATCAATTGAAGCTACCGAATGATAAATGTAAAACATACTTACGATGCACATTTATAAAAAAAAAAAAAAAAAAAAAAAA